ACTGCTACTGCTACGGCTACTACTACTGCTGCTACTGTTACTGCTACTACTGCTACTCCTACTACTACTACTACTACAACTACTGCTACTACAACTACTGCTACTACTGCTACTACTACTACTACTACTGTTACTGTTACTCCTGCTGCCGCTGTTGCTACTCATACTACTATTACTATAACTACTACTACTTCTACAACTACTGCTACTGCTACTGCTACTGCTACTGCTACAGCTACTACTACTACTACTAGTACTACTACTGCTGCTACTACTACTGCTACTGCTACTGCTACTGCACTACTACTACTACTACTACTACTACTACTACTACTACTACTACTACTACTACTACTACTACTACTACTACTACTACTACTACTACTACTACTACTACTACTACTACTACTACTACTACTACTACTACTACTACTACTACTACTACTACTACTACTGCTACTATTGCTGCTACTACTGCTACTACTACTACAACTGCTACTACTACTTCTACTACTACTGCTACTACTGCTACTGCTGCTACTCTTACTGCTACTGCTGCTGCTACTGCTACTACTACTGCTACTACTGCTACTACAGCTACTACTGCTACTACTGCTACTACTGCTGCTACACCTACTACTACTACTACGACTACTACTACTACTACTACCGCTGCTACTGCTACTACTACTGCTACTGCTACTGCTACTACTACTGCTGCTACTGCTGCTACTGCTGCTACTCCTGCTACTGCTGCTGCTGCTGCTGCTGCTGCTACTGCTGCTGCTACTACTACTACTACTACTACTACTACTACTACTACTACTACTACTACTACTACTACTACTACTACTACTACTACTACTACTACTACTGCTACTGCTACAGCTTCTGTTACGGTTACTGCTGCTGCCGCTATTGCTACTACTACTACTACTACTACTACTACTACCACTAGTAGTACCACTAGTACTACGACAACTACTACTACTACTGCTACTGCTACTGCTACTGCTACTGCTCCTGCTCCTGCTACTGCTACTGCTACTGCTACTGCTACTGCTACGGTTACTGCTGCTGCCGCTATTGCTGCGGCTACTAACAATTCCTCACTTGCTGCCCCTTGCTTTTGTGCCGGCCGCTGCTGCTGCTGCTACTGCTGCTGCTGCTGCTGCTACTGCTGCTGCTGCTGCTGCTCCTACTACTCCTACTACTGCTACTGCTGCTACTCCTGCTACTGCTGCTACTGCTACTGCTACTGTTACAGTTACTGCTGCTGCCGCTGTTGCTACTAATACTACTAATACTACAACTACTACTACTTCTACTACTACTACTACTGCTACTGCTACTGCTACTGCTACTGCTACTGCTGCTGCTGCTACTGTAACTGCTACTGCTACTACTGTTACTGCTCATACTGCTACTACTATTGCTGCTACTACAACTGCTGCTACTACTTCTGCTCCAACTGCTACTCCTGCTACTGCTACTGCTACTGCTACTACTACAGTACTGCTACTGTTGCTGCTACTGCTGTGCTACTGCTACTAGTCCTACTACTTCTACTACAACTGCTACTGCTGTTGCTATTGCTGCTGCTGCTACTGTTGCTGCTACTGCTACTGCTGGTGCTGGTGCTGCTACTGCTACTGCTACTGTTGCTGCTGCTGCTACTGCTGCTGGTGCTGCTGCTGCTCCTACTACTCCAATTGCTACTCCTGCTACTGCTACTGCTACTGCTACTGCTACTACTACTGCTACCGCTGCTGCTGCTGCTACTACTGCTGCTGCTGCTGCTACTACTGCTGCTGCTGCTGTTGCTACTGCTGCTGCTACTACTACTAGTACTACTACTTCTACTACTACTGCTACTGTTGCTGCTACTACTACTACTACTTCTACTACTACTACTACTACTACTACTACTACCACTACTACTACTACTACTACTACTACTACTACTACTCTTGCTGCTGCTGCTGCTACTACTATTACTACTGCTACTACTACTGCTACTGCTACTGTTACTACTGCTACTGCTACTGCTATTGCTCCTACTGCTACTGCTACTGCTACTGCTACTGCTACTGCTACTGCTACTGTTACTGCTACAACTACTGCTACTACTACTGCTGCTGCTACTGCTGCTACTGCTGCTGCTACTGCTGCTGCTGCTGCTGCTACTATGACTACTACTACTACTACTACTACTACTACTACTACTAGTACTACTACTACTACTACTTGTACTACTACTACTACTACTACTCCTACTTGTCACGCCCCCCAAACGGGGTGGGTGACGTGGAACTCGATTTGGGATTAATAAAGCAGATTCCCAACCGGGTCCCACATTTAACTACATAAAAATATAAATAAACGACATAATCCAGGAGCCTCTGACACATAGGGCTCCACCCCACAGGACATACAGTATCGTACATACATGCACATGTAAATAATCAATTACAATAGACATCATCCACAGTCTAGTAAATTCAAATGTCATTTATTACAAATTCTTACATATTCCTTACACTTTATGTCAGAGGATGAACACAATCCTCACTTGATCATTCCGTAGCACCACTCAACTACTCCCGCTACTGTGCCCCGCTCCTAGAGTCTCCTGGGAAGGGTTTTAAACATTTGAAACATAAAACATGAGCGAAAGGCCCAGTAGGATATAATTTGAAATA